TTACTTCAAGAAAACGGAAAACGATGTTACTCAGTTCACACCTCTTCATACTCTGTTCAACCGAGGGTGTTCGATGCATACATCAAAGGAACTGACTACTTTTACCTCTACTCCTATGGAGATTCCTTGAGAGCTCCGCAACTACTCACTAAAACTAACAGAGAAGCCTCGTTGGAGGGTCCCTGGTGCTACTGCTACGGTTACTATTTTGAGAGTAAAGATAAATTTTGACGAGACTTGTTGTGGTATGATATGTCTGTCCTTCGTCAAGAGTCTTGCTGCCAGTTTTGTTGTGCCTCACCCTCTAACCGCCTTCTCTCTCTGTTCCCAAAAATCAGCTCCACGTAGCATCCAGTAACTTCCCCGAGCGTTCTTTGCAAGTCAAGTGCTGCTTCTGGTAACCACCTCGACATGTCATCATGTCACTTGACCATTGGACGGTCACCGTACACAAAACAAATTGGATGGTATCCATGTTGACTAAGACAACAGTCCATGGATGGTACGCATATTAAATGGTCACCATACCCTAGCATCATCCATTAGGGTTTGGATGGTATCGATTACATTGGACACTACCATCCATTATGGATTTTGGATGGTATCCATGTATTTGGACACTACCATCCGTTATTCCTATGGCGTGACTTGATATATTGGACCATTCATGTACACATGGACCACCTACTTAAAATGGTCAAGCTGTTCACACAAGCAATAATTAATGAAAATTATTTTGGTGTAAACAGTACACCTTTGGAATCTGCCAAAAATGTACCCGAAAAAATCCGTCCAAATTGGTGCTTATTAGGCTTAATCAGCGATGAAGAATAGTCTCAGGCCGAATCTGTGATCCGTAGCCCCCAAAATCAAGGTAAATTGGCCTTTCAAAAAAATCACACGACAAATTAAGAAAATGCCTCCGAGAAATTTTTGCATAAATCAGCAATTAATAGACTTTATCATCGGTGGGGAATTGCCCCAGGCCCCCTCAGCTGAATCCGTGATCTGTGCCTCTAAAATCCAACGAAAATAGCATTTCGTAAAATCGCCCGAAATCTGTGATGGGTACCCCCTTTGGAATCTGCCAAAAATTGACCAGGAAAAATCCATCCAAATTGGTGCTTATTAGATTTAATCAGCGATGAAGAATAGTTTCAAGACGAATTCGCGATCCATAGCCCCAAAAATCAAGGTAAATTGGCCTTTCGAAAAAATCGCACGACAAATTACGAAAATTCCTCCTGGAAATTTTTTGCCCAAATCGGTGATTAATAGACTTTATCATCGGTGGGGAATAGCCGCAGGCCCCCTCAGCCGAATCCGTGATATGTAGCCACTAAAAATCCAACAAAAATAGCATTTCGATAAAATCGCCCGAAATATGTGATGGTACCCCTTTGGAATCTGCCAAAAATGGACCCGGAAAAAATTTGTCCAAATTGGTGCTTATTAGACTTAATCATCGATGAAGAATAGTTTCAAGCCGAATTCGCGATCCGTAGCCCCCAAAATCAAGGTAAATTGGCATTTCGTAAAAACCGCACGACAAATTACGAAAATTCCTCCGAGAAATTTTTTGCCCAAATCGGCAATTAATAGACTTTATCATCGGTGGGGAATAGCCTCAGGCACCCTCAGCCGAATCCGTGATCTGTAGCCTCTAAAATCCAACGAAAATAGCATTTCGATAAAATCACCCGAAATTTGTGATGGCACCACTATAGAATCTGCAAAAAATGGACAGGGAAAAAATTCTTCCAAATTGGTGGTCATTAGACTTAATCATCGATGAAGAATAGTCTCAGGCCGAATCCGCGATCCGTAGCCCCCAAAATCAATGTAAATTGGACTTTCGAAAAAATAACACGGCAAATTATGAAAATCCCTTGGGAAAAATTTCACCCAGATCGGCGATTAATAGACCTTATCATCGGTGGGGAATAGCCCCAGGCCCCCTCAGCCGAATTCGCGATATGTAGCCTTTAAAATCCAACGAAGATAGCATTTCGATAAAATCGCCTTTGGAATCTGCCAAAAAATGGAACCGGAATAATCCGTCCAAATTGGTGCTTATTAGATTTAGTCATCGATGAAGAATAGTCTCAGGCCGAATCCGTGATCCGTATCCCCCAAAATTAAGGTAAATTGGCCTTTCGAAAAAATTGCATGACAAATTAAGAAAATTCCCCCGGGAAATGTTTTGCCCAAATCATTGACTTTATCATCGTTGGGGAATAGCCCCAGGCCGCCTCAGCCGAATCCGTGATATTTAGCCACTAAAATCCAACGAAAATAGCATTTCGATAAAATCGCACGAAATCTGTGATGGTACCTCTTTAGATTATGCCAAAAATGGACACGAAAAAAATCTGTCCAAATTGGTGCTTATAAGACTTAATCATCGATGAAGAAAAGTTTCAAGCCGAATCCGCGATCCGTAGCCCCCAAAATCAAGGTAAATTGGCCATTCGAAAAAATCGCACGACAAATTAAGAAAATGACCCCGGGAAAAATTTCGCCCAAATCGGCAATTAATAGACTTTATCATCGGTGGGGAATAAACCCAGGCCCCCTCAACCGAATCCGTGATATGTAACCACTAAAATCTAACGAAAATAGCATTTCGATAAAATCTCCCGAAATCTGTGATGGTACCCTTTTGGAATCTGCTTGTTAGACTTAATCATCGATGAAGAATAACCTCAGGCCGAATCTGCGATCCGTAGCCCCCAAAATAAGGGTAAATTTTCCTTTCGAAAAAATCACACGGCAAATTACGAAAATGCCCCCGGGAAAAATTACCGCAAATCGGCGATTAATAGACTTAATCATTGGAGGGGAATAGCCCCAGGCCCACTCTGCCGAATCCGCGATCTGTAGCCTCTAAAATCCAACAAAAATAGCATTTCGATAAAATCGTCTGAAATCTGTGATAGTACCCCTTTGGAATCTGCCAAAAATGGACCCGGATAAATTCGTCCAAATTGGTGCTTATTAGACTTAATCATCGATGAAGAATAGTCTCAGGGCGAATCTGTGATCCGTAGCCCCCAAAATCAAGGTAAATTGCCTTTCGAAAATATCGCACAATAAATTAAGAAAATGCCCCCGGGAAATTTTTTTCCCAAATCGGCGATTAATAGACTTTATTATCGGTGGGGAATAGACAAGGCCCCCTCAGCCGAATCCGTGATATGTAGCCACTAAAATCCAACGAAAATAGCATTTCGATAAAATCGCCCGAAATCTGTGATGGTACCCCTTTGGAATCTGCCAAAAATGGACCCAGAAAAAATCTATCCAAATTGGTGCTTATTAGACTTAATCATCGATGAAGAATAGTTTCAAGCCGAATCCGCGATCCGTAGCTCCCAAAATCTAGGTAAATTGGCCTTTCGAAAAAACCGCACGATCAATTACGAAAATTCCTCCGGGAAATTTTTGCCAAAATCGGCGATTAATAGACTTTATCATCGGTGGGGAATATCTCCAGGCACCCTCAGCCGAATTCGTGATCTGTAGCTTCTAATATCCAAGTGAGAGAAAGGTCCACTCCATAGAGAGGAGAGAGGAAAACAAAAATCAAAGCAGTCATACTCATAAAAATGGGAATAATCTGCTTTGGGGTGTCAATCTTCACTCCTAGGGATGCAATCTGAGCTTCAATGGTGAGAAATCCACTCTAAATAGCTCATAGGGTTTGTTCTTCGCGCTTTCTCTCTCTAGAACTCTGTTTTTGCTCCAAAAAGTCGAATCCCATTCCTTTGGCTCGAATCTGCCTCTTTCAACCCGATTCTGGACGAAATACGGGCAAGAATATGGTAGTAATTCTTCTCTGTCCGTATTTTTCCCAAAACTCGCGTTTTGGTTAATTCTCAGCGCATCCAAGGCTCCTCTCGGTAGTGAAATTACGGGCTCGACACTGAGGAATATGACCCTATTTTTGGGAATATTGACCGTCTTTTGTCCCGAGCCATCACTAGGCTCGACATAAAAAATACCGGCAGTAATTTGTGAATTACGACCGTAATTTTGGGAATATCGACAGTAGTTTATGAATTACGGCCGTAATTTGGGGAAGGCTGCCCATATTTCTTCCTCAACTCCACTTTTGATAGGCTTTTGAGTGACCAAACGACCTCTGATTGACCCGAAACTTGCGCCTATGCCTCCCTTTACTCGCTAGGACCTGACATATGACAAAATAACACAACATAGCGTAAAATAGGATAAGGAACCACAAATCCGAGTTAAAACAGTTAAGAAACAAGGGTGCAAACATGTGCAAATACAACGCTATCAATCCAAATTTCCACTTATTACAAATAACCTTCCACCTTAAGTGTCAAATAAAGCTATTCAATTCATGGTGGATGTTGTATTATATTGGTGTTATAGTTTTTAATTATTATATTTAACAGTATATGGATGTTGTATTATATTTAACGGTGTAGAATTGTAGTTTTGTTTTGAATTATTTGTATGATTATATTATTAAAAATATTATAAAAATTTAAAAACAAAAAAATCAAAATATCACACGTGGAGGTTGTTATTCATTAGCGGTTAACTATCAAACTAGCCACTAATCGAACCAATAATAAGAGATTAACCAAAAATCTTATCGGTACAATTTTCGGTGTATATTTTCATCTTTGCTTAATCATTACTCGTTAAATCGATTAATAGTCAACCGATACCATTATTAACTTAGGAGGCTAACATGATATTATTCGTTTTGGAATTAAGCATAGACCTCCCAGCACCCTTTATATCCTCAGACCTCAATCTCATTATCATCAGCATCAGCATTCTCATTAATAATCACCCCCCATGCGCGGCAACGAATGAGATTCCTCACAAAATATTTTCATCTTCGAATCCATCCCCCCTAACTTAAAAGAAGCACCCAAGATTTTATTCCCGCACATTTGCATTTTCCCCGACGTTATTTTTAAGCGTAAATTAAGCTAAAAAAAGATGTTTTGCTATAACCACCATATTTCTGCGTATTATTCACTGTACATGAAGCAAAATTCTACATAAGCTACAGAAACCAAACTAAAATAGTCCATACTCTCTCATAAACCCATTTGATTATCTAACGATTATCAGTACATACTACGTAGTCAACTCTGAAACGTCGTCGTCAGTTATCCTTGATATCGTCGTTTTTTCTCATCTTCAGACGAATTTTCAAGAAGCTCATCCAGCACGCTGTCATCCAAGTACTCAAACTCAAACACCTGCTGCTTCTCTTTCCCTCCGCCGCCGCCGTTGCCCCTCATCGTCGCCCCGGCGGACGACGACGAGCTGCTGCTCCCTCCTCCGCCAGCTTTGTCCCACGTGGAAGGAGGGCGTGGAGTCGTGGGGCTCATCACCTGCCAGTAATATTCGTTGGGGAAGTTAAGAATGGCGAGGTGTCCCCTCATGTTGAATGCGGCTCTGTCGTACGCACGTGCGGCCTCCACCGCCGTGTCGTACGTCCCCAGCCACAGCCGCGCGCCTTGCCTGGCCGGGTCCCGTATCTCCGCCGCGTACTTCCCCCAGGGCCGCCGCCGGACGCCGCGGTACTTCAGTTCCTGGTGGTCGACGGCGGCGGCGTCGTTCATGGCTCTCTTGGTTTCCTTCCCTTTATTCATGCTAGGTGGTTAATGTGTTTCCTGAGTGTAATTGTAATTACGTTCAAAGTTGGTGGCAGGGGATATTTATAGTGCGTGGCTGGCTGGGGAAATGAGTATTATTTTTTGCTTTTTATTTTATGTGGTCAGGAGTGACGCAAGAAGAAGTTGACCGAATTCTACTGCTTCATTGACCCCTCCCACTTGAACGAAGAACTAAGCTGGAGGGCTGGTCTCGGTCAGGTCTCGGGTGCACGATGATGTTTAATGCATGTTTGCTACTTTCTTCGAACTTTCTGGTGAAAATTCGTATATGGTTTTTATTTTTCGAGCTTTCCCAGGATGGAATGGAATTCAAAATGTAGGAGATCAACATCCGATATTCAATATTCTTGGCCTGATTTTGTTCTAGTATTTTTTATTTTTTTTTCGATGGATGAGGCCTTTTAAGTCCTTGATTCTAATTAAGATGCTATCCAACACACAAAATTTGGATTTTTTTTCCTCACGAACAGAATTTAATCAATACCCACTTGATTCATATAACATCTACTACCCACATCTACATTACCTTTTTGCTAAATCGTTGTGGTCCTACAATTTAACCGAAAACATTGATCATTCTCCCATATTATTGAATGGTCTCGCAACGATTTCATACCATAACTATGTTCATAGATAAGGAATGGGTTAGGGTGATTACTTGTTTTTTAGTAATCACGATGGCAATTTCTTTATATACCATTTGATTAATTATTTTCCCTTCTTTTTTAATCTTACGGTCAAGATTCTTTTAGGGTAATTTTGGAAATTAAAAAGTGACCACACCTGATTATTCTATATAATCTACCTAAACCCTTGTTTTATCCTCCCTCCAGCCAAACCCGTCGCAGCCGCCTCCACGTACCACTCCCGTCGCACCGCCGGCAGCAGCCCCGACCACCGCCGGCAGCAGCCCCCCCTCGGTACCCTCTCTCTCTCTCTCTCTCTCTCTCTCTCTCTCTCTCTCTCTCTCTCTCTCTCTCTCTCTCTCTCCTTTCCCCTCATCTACTCAGAAATCATCGCCCCGCTGCTATCCATGGCGATCCCGATGTCGAACGCGCTGATCTATGTGCTACTCGCCCTGCTCTTCTTCGTGTCGTCGGCATTGTCCGCCTCCGACGTCCCGTGCATCGTGGCCCAAAGCTCAACAGGCTCAGATCAGGCGCCGAGCACGTCTCCGTCTCAATCGACATCTACAATCAAGGATCCTCGTGAGTTTTCACTTCCCTTTTATTGATTCAATGTGCAGTGGTATAGATTGTTTATATTGGTAGTTTTCGTGTAATGGTATAGATTTATTTCTGCAATGGTATTGATTGTTTATGGTATAAACTGTTTATATTGGTAGTTTTCGTGTAATGGTATAGATTTATTTCTGCAATGGTAGTTTTCGTGTAATGGTATAGATTTATTTCTACAATGGTATTGATGTTTTTCAAAGTGGTAGTGTTTGTCTAATGGATTGGTATTTTTTTTTTTTTTTTTTGCAGAAAGATTGAGAAAAATATGGAAAAGAAATCTGGTTGGAGATTACGGAAGTGAGAGAAAGAGAGAATTTTAATTAATAGATTTTTATAACTACCTAAAATGTAATTTATTAAAAAATTAATTAAAATAATTTATTTTTTCATATCCAATTTACCCTTAACCTGCCCCATAGACGACGCACTTCCTTCTTTTTGAACAAATATAAACAAGAAACTCACTCCCTTAATTTGATATTGTACAACTTAAGTGCGTGGAACCCCTTCCAACTCTTAGGTATGCCTTGAATTTGCTTTAGGATTTATCCATTTATTTTTTGTTTTGGTTCTATTTTGCTTGGGTTTATGCTCGGGTCTTTGTTTTGACTTTCGGGAAAAGTGTTCGGTTTTCTTTTTAGGACTAGGAGAAAAGTTTTACAAATACTCTTTATCATCCTAATATGTAGTTTGTTCACTCATATTAATTTGTTTGGTTAGTTAGTTCTAGAATCTATTTTGTAATATGTGCTCTTCTCATATTAGTGAAATTCGTTCTTCCAAGTTTGTGGATTAGCTAGCAAACATTGTGTTAGTGAACCACTTAATTTTTTTTTTGTTTGCATTTCATGCATTATCGATTGTTCACATCCATTATGATAAGTGATATCAGAGTTGGCTGCCACTGCTAGTAGGAGACAACAATATGGACTATGGTAATAGGAATGCAGAATGTAAGTTTGAATTCTGATGGTTCGAAGGCTTATGACATCAGTCATAATTGTAAGGAGATACGATGTTAGAAATTTAATTGTCCTGAGCTAAAGAAATATCAGGAGAAGAAGGAACATTTGCTATTGTTGTGGTAGAAGAAACTAACTCTGATTCTAAAGATGATTTAGGCATTTAGCCTTAGCTGTAACTGAACAACTACATTGTCAAAATATGTGTATTAGCTACTGCAGCTGATTATCATATATGTTCAACTATGGAATGTTTTTCAACTTATGAGCATATAGATGAAGAATATATTTTTATGGCCAATGGTGTTGTTTGCAAGATTGTTAGAAAATGCTCCATCAAGATTGTTGGTTCTGTTTGGGCCTTGAACGATGTTAGACATATCCTAAGAGACTAAGAATGTAATATCTTTGAGTTTACCAGACATCAAATGTTTCTGTTTCAAAGGAGAATGTGGAGTGGTGTATGTCTACAAGGATTCTAAGGTGATTTTGAAATGCATTTAGGTTGGGGCATTGTATAATCTATAAGGTTATGTGTTGACAAGTTATGTTGGTAATATGTTCACTAATCTAGTTTCACATGACAAGTTACAACATGGGTTCGACTTGCTGAATTTGCTTTTAGCAGCATTTTGAGGTTGGGAGAGTTTGTTACATATGGTAGATTTGATTGTCTTAGTCTTGAGATTTACATCGCATTTTAGATTGGAGATTTTGATCGCATCTGGATACCATCAGACAATTTGGATCACATTTGGGTACATTTGGCTATGTCAATTGCATCTGGGTACATTAGATCATTTTCGTTGCATCTAATATTAGAGATAGAATTCAAATTAAGGTGGAGATTTGTTATATATATCTTGAATTTTTTTTTTCTTTGGGAATTGTCAATTGTTTTTTGTTTATGTTTAGAATTAGGAGAAATGTTCTATAAATATTTTATCACTTTGATTTGCAGTTAGGTCAGTCAAATTAATTTTTTGGTTAGCTAGTTCAGGAATTTGTTTTGTAATTTGTGCTCTCTTCAAATCGTGAAATTTGTTTCCCTTCGTATGAATTAGCTAGCACTCATTGTGTTAATAAATCAAGTTAATTTTTTTTACCTTCCTTCTTTGCATTATCAATATTTCGCGTTGTTACGACATCAACCACCTTGATACCTTGTTCGTGCTTGAATTTGTCCCTCAATCCCAACTCTTGTAAGAACACGTTAATTATTAACTTTGATGTATAAAACCATGCACCTATTCGTAAGAAAGACAGTTTATGTTTTAGGGGATTGCTATTCGTCGCCCTAAAAATCTTTATTCGTCGCCCTAATTATGTTAATTTTACTCTATTGTCCTAGTTATTTTTTGTCTTTTTGTCTTTCAAATACAGCGGACAGGTTTTCAACCTTGTCGTCGGAGAGCGTGGGACAGGTCGGCAACCCGTCGGCGACGTTTAATGGGGGAAAAAACAGCAGCGAGTCGGCGGCTGGGGGAACGGCAGCGGCAGATTGGGCAATCGACGTTTTAAGATATCAGATAGCAATGGCTATCAACGGATCATTACTAACCACCATGGAAGAACAATATTCATCCGCCGCCGCGACACCACCACACCACCGACTTACTAATCTCATCTCTCCATATAAAGAACAAAGAGCGTTGAATTACATTAAAAATAAAACCAGAGAGCAATGGCTATCGCGAAATGGAAAAGCCATCTGATGCATCTTTATTTAATCAAAATGGGGAAAGTTTCAATATTCAATTACAATAATCATATTTATAGTAAACCTATAAGAGATATCGAGAGTAATGGCTATCAACGGATCATTGCTAACCACCATGAACCTTCTTCCTCCTTCCTCAGAAACAGCAGGAGGTCGGCGGAATGGGAGCTGCCGCAGGTTGGGTGAACGGCAGCGGCGACCGGTATTTGGCTGGTGGGAAAATTAGGAGTTAGGATTGAAATTGGAAATAGGGGTATAAACGTCAATGTAGTATGATTTAGGGCGAATTTTTTTAAATTTTAGGGCGACGAATAGCAATTCAGATATTTTATCATTTAGAGAATACGTGCTATTATTGTGGTTGAGACTAGTTATATGGGAGAGGTGGCGGTTATATGTAATTTACCAATTCAATCCATCCACAAAAATATTTTATTAATTTCATTTAAATTTATTAGGATTGGTAGATTCATGAATATTTAAAAACTACAATTTAGTACCTAGTTATATTATCCACATTTTATATTTGATACCTAAATTAAAGTTTTTTTACGTTAAATCTCATTGAAAAATTATATTTTGATACCTTACTTTTAATGATCTTTAGATTTTACTTGATCTATGATCCAATCCACTAATATGTTTGATCACATTTATTTGATCCAGCGATATATCGGTCCATAAATAATTGAATTCAATTCATTTACCAACTCTAACTGCAGTTATTATGGATATTTGAAGAGGGACACGAACGAAAGAATAAGCTTGGTGGGTGCATGACTTTTTTTGGTTCCAGATAATATGAGGATATATCGTGTATCTCTTTAGATACCCATATCGGAGTTTGATTAGGTTATAAATTTGGGGCCACCATATCAAAGAAATGTTTTTATGTACAACATGGTAAAAATTCGTATTCCGGTCGGTGGTTTGTTTGGTGTTTAATTGGTCAACACCCTATCCAAGTTACCTAAAAGCAATTCGGTGGTTAACGGAGGAACACTAATTCTTGGGTCACACATTAGCTTTACACCCTAAAGTGTGATTCTCCAAATTCAACCTAGGCATGAATATGGCACTATCACTATAT